CCTTTTATTACAACAGGAGAGTGAAGCAGCAAGTAAATCGCCTCCTCCCCGGGCTCCCACCAGCTATGATTTGTGATAATGTGCTAGTATGCAGGAGAGCCTAGATTCTGGAAAATACCCCCAAACGTTAATTTACACTCCGTGATATTTTCTTTTCTTTTGCTCAGGGTGGTTAATAAAACCTGTTATGACATGCTTAAAGTGCTTAAGAAGCTCTGCGAATAAATGAGAATTTTTCTACGCCTCCCTAAGGCATTTTCATTCCTATCAGTAGTTGTTCGTTCCATTTGAAGGATTGCCAGGGGAGAAAACGTTAAATGACTGTGCTGCTGCTATAGCTTCAAATGGGATTTATTTCCTTTGGATTGTGATTGGATTCTTGATTTGGCTGAACGGAGAAGGCGGTGGGGTGTGGAAGGGTCCTTCTTTCCCGGAGGTGTTTTAAAATACATCTGTTGGTTTTTTTAATATGAAACTGAGAGGCTCTCACTGCCGTGCCGAGCGAAATGCAGCTTTCTAACCAAAGGAGAGTTATCTTCTCAAGAAAGTAAAGAAGCGAGTTATAAGCTGTGACCAATACCAGGTGCAGGAGCCTTAACTGCAGACGGGGCAGACAGTGGGAAGACGCTGTGCTGGTCCAGCGAGAGTAGACGTGGGTGGAAGAGGGATTCTTGTCCAGTCATGTCTGCCCTCAGCATTGGCAACTAGGATTCCCCCTGAACGGAATAGTCTTTGTATTCTTCAGTGCCAGCTTCACCAGAATTCAGCTTCTCTTCGCACAACTTACCCTGTCGTTGCCAGCGCAGGGTGCTCTGGGGAGCCGCCGAAGGGCCGGTCTGCCTCAGGGGTGTTCCTTCCCTTCCCTGCCCGTCCGCAGCCTGAAGCTGCAGGAGCAGGGCAGCTTACCACGCGTTTTGTACAAGGGCTTCCCTGGTACCTCCACGCCGTGCCTTGACAGATGAGGTTTCAGAGCTTTTTTCTGGTTTGCCTGTATGTGTGTCTCACTTGAAAAACCCGTACTAGTTCCTGTGATTTCACAGCAAACGCGGCGCTTTGATTCCTGTAACGCACAGACATACTGCTGATCTCTTTGAGGGAGGTATACCCAGCCTCCCGTACTCCCGCATTTTAATCAAACTCTGTGTAGCTTGTGTTGTGTTTCACAGCTTCCTCGTCTGATATTTGCAGCCTGGGGTTAATTGACTTTTGGAAGAGGTACGTGCAACCTGCTAATGACTGTGCTGCGTTTGTCAGGTGGCGCTTCTGAGGTCTTAGATCAATGGGTTTAAATCCCATTTGTGTCTGTTTTTCAAAGCAAAAGCCCGGCTGATCATCTCAGGAGCCATTAAGAGAAACTCGTTATTTTTCTCAGTGCTTTGAAATCCTTCTACAAGTAGATATAGGCAGGCTGAGTGTTATTCTCTTAAGTTACATCTTTAATTCCAAGTTATGAAAGCAGAGGACATGAGGATATAGCACAGTGCCCCCAATTTACTGCTGTGGCCTCCCAAGCCAAGTGATTCCACCTCTTTGCCGAGTCTCCCCTCAGAGCTGGTCAAACTGTACAATAAATGTTAATACACTTTGTTTCCTTCTCAGACTAAGAACTTGGACTTCCGCCGAAAGTGGGACAAAGATGAATATGAGAAACTTGCAGAGAAGCGGCTCACCGAAGAGAGAGAAAAGAAAGATGGTGCGTAGTGTACTGACTCCAGGCAAGCTTTGCTCATTTGGCAGTGAGTCACCCAAGCCCTTTGAGTTTGAGAGGGAGAGAGCAGCTAGAAGTGAAATCCCGGAGGGAAGCAGCAGCAATTCAAGGCTGGCTTGCTCTGATCCTTTTTCCTGTGCTTGCCACTGAATATATTTTTTTGACAAAAAAGTAATTACTGAGAACCTTTGCCTCTGTCTGCCTGTTCTTTGGGGAGGAAGAGGAACAATCGGCCCCTGGAAACAAGGAGATCTCAGAGTATGACCCACATCAGAGCTGGAGATACCTCACAGATCTATGTGGTTCTAATAGGAACCAGGAAATAGTGAGGAGGAAATTATATTCTTCCAGATTTTAAAAAAAAAAAAAAAAGCCATTTCTGCATGAATCAAGTACTTCCCAAGTTCCCGATAGCCCCTCTTCATCAAGGGCAATGTGAAATCCAGTGAGTTGAGCTTGACCTTTTCTGATAAACACTTTGGGTTTTTGCATGTTTTAGGCAAACCAGCTCAGCCCGTCAAAAGGGAACTTCTGCGGCACCGAGACTACAAAGTGGACCTGGAATCGAAGCTGGGGAAAACCATCGTCATCACCAAAACTACCCCTCAGTCAGAGATGGGAGGGTAGGTCGTGATCTTTTTGTTGGAGCCTCAGAGTTGCACTGGTGAGACCAGAGGGCTGGGACAGAGCAGGGAGCCCTGTTGGTGCACCAGGCAGTGATTTCCTCCCGTGTTTTGAGCCTGGTGCGATGGTGCCGCGCTGTATTACACCGACACCGGGTCTTCCGGGGTAAAGTGTGGAATTGATGCAGCAGGCTGAGCCTCTTTGGACACTATTACTTGGTGTCAGTGTTGCCTTGCCCACTTGTAGAAACAACTGAAGCAGATCTCTGCTGCCGCTTGGGTTTTTTTAGCCAGGAGGCCTGCTTGCAGTGAGACCCTGTCTGCTGTTGGTTGGAGTTTCTGATCTGGATATCTGTGCCCTAGGAATGGGGGAACATCCAGAGACCTGTCCTTAGGAATGGTGTGCGGCCACTGTTCGTGTGGCTCGTGTTTGGCCAAAGGCTGAAAGGTTTCTTAGCTCGCCCTAAGCCGTCAAGAGCTTGAAAAGAATGCTCTGAGCCATTTCAAGAGTAAGCCTGTTAGTGTTTCACTGTCATAGCCAGCAGTGCCAGGGAGACGTGCAGCCCTGAACAGCATCCAGGGACGGAAGTGCAGGCCCTGGCTGGGTTTTTGCGACAGCTCTTAAGAGGGGCAGAAAGCACTGCTGTATAGAGCAGGGAGTTGCTGCTGTGAGGTGATAGGGACAGGAGGACCTTGCAGCCCCGTGAGAGCCTTCAGCAGGCTGCAGTCCAGAAACCTGGGCTGTGTGGCCAGCCCTGCCTTGGAGGAGGGCAGCCAAGCCCTGCGGTGTCGCAGAGTCCATCCCGCCCTGTTAGTTGTGACGGGAAGGGGAAAATGCTGCGACTGACATAGTTACACATCAGCTCATGCCTTGGTTTCTGTCATCTGTCAGAGTGGTGTTGGCATAAGGGTTGGTACCTCCAGTGTTAACCCAGGGAGCTCTGTCAATCCGGGCTGTGCCTTTGCACATTTCTTTTCACTGGGGCTCTCTGCAATGGAAGTAGCTTCCCTCTTGCCCTGGGGAAAGGAGCTGTATCCCCAGTGACATGCAGATTTCACATTTTAGATTATCTCAAATAGTTGTTCTGTGAGATGAGGTTTGTCTCATGCCTTGGCGTTAATGTTTTCTCTTCCCTCCTGCCAGGTATTACTGTAACGTATGTGACTGCGTGGTGAAAGATTCCATTAACTTCTTGGATCACATCAATGGCAAAAAACGTAAGGATCATTTTTCTGCCTTGTTGGAGGGTTGGTTGAGTTGGAGGGCTGCTGCGATGCTCCGGGTGGTTCCCTTCATGCATCACCAGTGTCTGAGAGCTGGACACTTACACATGGATTGAAGAGTGCTTTGGAGATCAGGCTGTAGGCAGTGTTTGCTCACGAGAGCTGTGGAGGTGCTGCCTTTATAGAATCACAGAATCATTTAGATTGGCAAAGCCCTTTAAGCTCCCCCAGCCCAACCATTCCCCTAACCCTGCCATCCCACCCCCAAACCCTGGCCCTAGGGGAAGGAATTGTTCCCCATGCCCAACCTCACCCTGCCCTGGCACAACTTCAGACCATTCCCCCTCGTCCTATCACCCATTACCAGGGACAAGAGGCCAACCCCCACCTCGCTACAGCCTCCAGTCCCCCAGCCAACCCCAGCAGCCTGGGGCTCCAGATCCCTCCCCAGCTCCGCTGCCCTTCTCTGGACACGCTCCAGCCCCTCCAGGTCCTTCTGAGAGGGAGAGGCCCAACACTGCTGGCACCTTCCAGGGTGCTGGACCATTTTAATACAAGGCCAGAGGAAATAGTGACAGTTTACTCTGGTTAGATGGATGTATTTTCCCCACTCAGAGTGTCTGCGCTGTGAGAAGCCCAGGGCCAGCAAATCCCGATGTCTCCTCTGAAAATGTGGAGAGAGGCTTTTTTACAGTACCAAAACTTTAAAGAATTTCTTTAATAAGTAAAAGGTATGGAACTAGCCCATTTTCAGATCAGAAGCTTCTCTTTGCAGAAGTTGAGTATGAAGCTCAAAGGTCCCTGAGCTCTGGAGTACAGATCAGAGTTTACAAGGATGGAGGCTGTGGTTTGCTGGGGTGAGTGGAGACAGGAGTGGAGCAGGATGACCCCAGAGTTGGGTCCAGCAGTGCGGTGCTGTTACTGTCCTGTGCCTATCTGTGGTTCTTCTCTCCATTGCTGTAATCATGCAGTTAACTTAGGCCAAGATAAAGACAAGAGAATAAAATTCCCAGTTTATCAGGCTGTTCCCTTACTGTGTTTAACTTGAAAAAGAGGACCGTACCCTTGTTGAACTGACTCGCCTTTCACGACTGTGGGCGTTGCTTCTCCTTGACGTGTTCAGAGGGTGGGGAAAGTGGAGAAAGTAAAGGAGCAGCAGGATGCCCTGACACGCTCTTGCCATCTTGATCCGCTCCTGAAGGTGATTTTGGCTCCCCATGGAAGTCAACACATGGCCCCTTTAGAAAAAGGCAGTGACATGTGTGATCCAGACCCACATGCTTGGCTGCTTGAACCTTTGAGAAATGGGGGGTTCAGAAGAGGACCTGAGGGCCAGTATTTCTGTAGCTAGGAAGAGAAAACCCAACGCATTAAAGCCCTGTGCTTTTACGTGAATAGGAGGAGGACGCTGAAGTGCTTTGTTGGGCATGTTGGGAGATTAGCAGTGAGTCCATATGAGAGAATCTGGAATCAAAAATCCTGGCAGGAACTTGGTGCATGGGCCTGAGATGAAGGGTTGAGCTGGGGTTGGGAAGTAGCTGATGCGTAGCTCTTTGGTAGGGTGTGATTGCCAGAGTAAGTTGGGGAGCTTTTGATCCGGTCCATAAATCTGGCTGAAACCTGCTTGTTCTTGGCAGCCCTCTTACTAGCTCCTGGCATGCAGTTTGAGCTTTCAAGTGCTGCTGCACCCCTGGGACAAACCTGGGCACGGCTGCGGGAGTCAACAGGCTGTTTGGATCCACCAGGCAGCATGGGTTGGACACACTGCCGAGGGTGGCCCCTTCAACCTAGGCTTACTCATGAGCTGAAACTTGGGAATCTGCTCTAAGCAGCCACTGAATCGGAGGCCTGGCTTAATATTTCATGTCTGTGCTTTAGCTAGAAATGTCCTGTGCAAGCAGGAACTCTTACCGAGAGCCACTGGTGGCTTGTTTAGCTTCTCCTACAGCTGAGAGGTGCCAGCTTGCAGGTTTTATTCTGGCCCCTTTTTCAAACGCTCCAAGCTTTTTTTTTCCCACCGGTCCAAGATTAAATTTCCTGACACGTCAGAACACCAACGTGGCGGGGAGCATCCTAACAGGGAACGTTAAAAGAATAGGCTGTGTCCTTTTTGTTACAAGTAACGTATGGATCGTTGTAGTCACTGCCTGGTTTAGGTTTTGGTGTCTCCCTAAAGCCCATCCCCTCTGACATAAGAAATCCCAATCCACGTAGGAATACGGGATCAGATGAGGGTGGAAAAGCGCATGCCTCTCTGGGGGAGGAGGCACTGCTGTGTCACACTCCCCAAGCTGGCCCTGGGTTACTGGGGCAGTGGTACGGTGCCATGCCAGGCTCTGCCGCTCGGGAACACAGGGGACAATGCTGCTCCCTGTGCTTTGAGCAGTGGGTGGCCTGCGAGTCAGCGCTGCTCCGTCAGGTTGGAGCACTGAGCCTTGAGGGCGTGGGGCCTTGTGCATGGGGCCACGGAAGCTGCTTTGAGGGGATGGATGACAGGCAGGAAGAGGCTGCTGTGCTGATTTAAATTGGGGACGGGGACTGTGTGCAGACCGTCAAAGGCTACAAGATGTGCTGAACGCGGGCGATTCCACTCCTGTTTTCTAGACCAGAGAAATCTGGGCATGTCCATGCGGGTGGAGCGCTCCACGCTGGACCAGGTGAAGAAACGCTTTGAGGTGAACAAGAAGAAGATGGAGGAGAAGCAGAAGGACTATGACTTTGAGGAGAGGATGAAGGAACTCCGTGAGGAGGTGAGTCTGGGCAATGACTGATGAAGCAAAGCCCCCCAGAAACATGTTTTGTGAGGAAGTCAACCCTGGTTCCTAACCTTGTTCCACAGAAGCCTTGTTCTTGGCAGCATGGGCTTCTTGTCTGCGGCTATGAGTGGGTTTTGTTTCTTTGTTGTTTGCTTTCTAAAAGGTTTTCTGCTGCTGTCCCTGGGAACCCTTTTCCCCTCTTTCTGTGTGAGGATAACTTGATACTTCACGTTTCCCCTGAGAGCAGCACAGGCCTGACAACGCACCTGGTTTTTGTTTGAACTCGTGTGCTGCGATACGCACATCTGTGTCTTTGTCCCTTATCTTCCACGGTTCTTAGGATTGCTGGGATCCTTGTCCACGTGGCACGTTGCTTCGGCGTGGCCTCCCCGGGTGTGGAAGGGCTCTGTGAGCGGTGTGCTATCGTGTGAGATGTGCATGGAGGCAGCGAAAGACAGCAGGTTCCTCTCAAACCTGGGCTTAGGTTGTCAGCTCCCTGACATGAAGATCAAGTTTATTTGAAAACCTGACAAAGTTCTGAGAGTTGAGGAGCTACTATGGATGCTTCTCCTCCATCAGCAGTCACATAACAACCAAACATCAAAAATCGCTGCCCGTTTGAGTCTCCCTGCCCAAGTCCTGAGCTTTGCTTCCCCGCAGGGGTGCTCTGGTGGGGTGCACACAGAGCAGCCCTGTGCTCTGCTCTCGAGCAGGCTGTGGTGCTGCTGAGCCTGATCTGTTTGGGGGAGGTCGGAGACAGGGTGCCCCAGCAGCGCAGGGAGTGCTGTGGATTAATAAAGCTACGGCCAGTCACTGTGTGGCAACAAAGAAATCGGCAGCAACTTTCAGTGTAGCTTTCTCCAGGGCACAGATGTCTTTGGTAGCAGCGGCGCAGCGGACACTGATGGGAATGGCAGGAGCAGTTGCTAAGTTGGGAGCTGAAGCCATGCTTCTGCCTCGCCCGGTGCAAGCCTGGCGCTGTTCCAGGGCTTGTGATCCTTGCAGAGCAAACCACTTTGATTAGAGCAGCGCAAACTCTTTGATGCCAAAACCCCCCAAAGCCGCTCAGAGCTTCAGCTTCTGTTCCAGTGAGCAGCTGTCACTCTGCCAGGCTGAAAGCCAACAGGCAGCAACATTCGGCATCCGAGTCACTGGAACAGGGGAACGCCTACGAGGGAAACGCCTCCTGCTTTAAAAACAGCTCCTTCTTGCCTCAGCGATGATTCCAGACAAAACTTCTGACGTTTGTTCGGAAGAGAGAGTTTTGGCTACGTCCTGTGTGACTCTGCTCTTGGAGTGGGAGGTGGGGTGGTCTGGAGACGGGGGGGAAACCTCCTCCTGGGAGATAGTCCAGGATTTCTGCTGGCCCTTTTATTTCCTCAGGCACAGCCTGGGTGCTGGTGGTAGGACTTGGCTTAGCTGTGCAGTGCCCGGTGTCTCAAAAGCTCACTCAGCTCAGGAGGCTCAAATTATTTTGCTGTTCTGTCCCTTGCTGCAGGAGGAGAAGGCCAAAGCCTACAAGAAGGAGAAGCAGAGAGAAAAGAAAAGGCGGGCGGAGGAAGAATTGACATTTGAAGAGGATGACGAAATGGCAGCTGTGATGGGTTTCTCTGGTTTCGGCTCAACCAAAAAGAATCACTGAGCAGCTCTGGACTCTCCTCTTTCTTGAAACAGATTGTTTTTACCCAGGGGACTCTGGATATCTCTTAAAAGACTTGATTGAGGACTTGTATGTAAATGTCCCAGTAGAAGTTGGCTGGAGGAGTCGAAAAGCGATTCCATGCTCTACCTGCGCTGCAGAACAAGCTCCGCCTGTCATTAGCTTCCCATCTCCTTCTGTGTCCTAGATCTGGCTGCTCATCACCGCTCTGTGGCCTCGCGTGTGCAGGGAAGTGTTCTGCTGGGTACGTTTTCGTGTCAATAAAGTGCAACAGTTCTGTACAGGTGGCCTGGTTCAGGATTAATCTAGTTGTCAGCCAGGCATCGTTGTTCCGGGCCCGAGCTGTTCCAGTTGTCAACCGGGCTGTGTTGGAGATGCAGGGAGCAATTCCGTTTCGTTTTGGATCGCGTAGCTGAAGGAGACGTGCCACGGCGAGCGGTGTTGAGCGGTACGACCCGCATCTTTACGGCTTGTGCTGAGCAGAGCTGGTGGCTGCATGGAGTCTGGGTCGCCAAAACTTCCCTGTGTATTTTATCTGCAAGGGATAATTCCCTGCTTTTCTTTGTGTTTCGTCCCATAACTTTGATATCTTTAAGGCAGGGGGAGAGATTCCTCCTCATGCCCGCTCTAGGATAGAGCGAATGAAAGGTGTGTGCGATTTGCCAGAAATAAATGGATCGTTTTAATGGGTCCCAAATTTGGTGGGAGTTTGATTCCTTCTTTGCTTTGAGAGCTTCTGCTTCCCGAAGAGAAGAGCTGCTGCTGTCTCCCAAGCTGTGCAGAGCTGGTGGTGGCCGCCTGGGGACCTCAATGGAGGCAAAGGCCCTGGCTTTTCCCCCCCCCGCCCCTCAGCTCAGCTGCCCTCTGCAGGCAGTTGCTGTTGTTTGTGGCTTTTTCAAGTAATTCTGGAGATGGGTGTAAGACCGTGGGAGGGGGAACGGGAAAGGCGAGGGGAAGGGGAAGAGAGCACAGGACAGGACAGGGGACCTGCATTTCCATTAGGCAATCCAAGAGCAGGCTGGGCTGTGTTCCAGATTTTACCAGCCTTAAGTGTATTAAGGGCCATTTTTTTTCCTGTCTCCTGGCTGTCAGCGTCTTTTCCCCTCTGCCCTTCCCTAAATCCACTTCATTTCTGCTTTTATTTACCTCGGCCAGACCTTGTGTGACTCCTTTCCGTCTACAGTTAAGATTTATGTTTTACGTGGCTAGGGTTTCGTAGCTCTGTCTCGCTCTCCTCTCTCTCTTTATGTATATTGATGAGATCCTTGCTCTTGCCCTTCTCTGTACTCGTATGAAATGTCCGACCCGAGGAAGGCTGCAGCGTGCTCAGCCTGCTCTTTCTAATACATCTAGAACAAATCCTGTAATGCTTTGCTGCTGTTTTAATTCCTTAATCTTAGACTGCTGACAGCTTCATTGCCTTGGGTCTTTCCGCTTCAATTCAGATTATAATCCCCGTTGAAGATGCTATTGAAATGATATATAGCCAGTCAGATACAGCTGTCCTTGGAGGTTTGACCCTTTTAACTTGGCAATCCTTTGACTTCGGCAAACGCGCTCTGAGCACGCGAGCTGGAGAGGCGACTTTCATTCCAGCCACGTACCTGGCGCTGCTCAGACGGCAGCACGTGGCTCTGGCTGAATGGGAGAGAGAAGCGCTGGTGCCTTTGTGCCCTCCGGGGTGCGAGAGGGATGCTGCCGTGGTTTCATACGCATTAAAAGTTTAGGACATTTCAGAGAAGATTTAGCAGCAGCCATTTTATCCCAGCCACCGGCTGTACAGACAACCAGACCCTCGCTGAATTCGGATTGGGGTTCTGAAGAAGGGGCAGGGGCTGCCCTGCGCCCCCGCTCTGTCCCAGGTTGTGACCTTGGCGCCAGTGGCTGCTGCCTGTGTTTCCCCACGGAGCATCCCACTGTTCTTGTCCATCCCGACGCACCCGAGGGGTGAGGTGTGAAGTGGGCAGCCCCCGAAAAACCTTTCCCCGGGGCGATGGCCGGGGTTGTGCAGCCTGCCAGGCTCTGCCTCCTCCTCTCCATCCTAGGAGAAACCCCTCTGCGGGACAGCGGGGTGGGAGAGGGCTTTCATTAACGAGATTCCCCTTCGGTAAAATGCCCGCAGATCCCCAAGCTCCAGCCCGAGGCCATCTGCGTCCTCTGGGCTGAAGCCCCAGCCCCAGCATCTCTGCGCTGCTGCTGCCTGGTCCCAGCGCTGGGGCTGCTCTCGCCGGGGGAGCCCGGGCTTTGTCTCGGCGGCTTGCTGGGAGCAGCGGGGTGTGCGGCAGCAGATACAAGCGCTCCCTGGATTCCCAGCAGCGGGAGCTGCCTCTAGCCAAGGATGAAAAGCTGGTTTCATGGGAGGAAATAATATTTAGAGAAGAGACAGATAACATTCCCTGCACCAGCCCGTTAACCCTTTGCTCCCAGCTGCTTCGTGCTGCTGTGGGGTGTTAACCCTTTGCCCGCCGCCCCCAGCGCTGGAGCCGTGGTTCTCCGCAACGCGTCATTAGCACCCTCCATCTCCGTGCTGAGGTGTCAGGCTGGTGGTGCTGGATGTGCCCCTGCGGGTCAGGGCTTAGGGAGTTAAAGTTAAAAACTGGGGAGAGGGAGGCCCCAGCTCTGCAGCGCTCCCTCCTGCTCCCCCCCCAAAGGCAAACAGGGCCGGGGTGCTCTGTGCCTGCTGATTCCCACTTCACCCTTGCCAGAGCTGCATCCCCTTTCGGTGCAGCCCTTCCGCGGGTTAAAACTGGGAGCTGGTGGGAGTAAGGAGGGACCTTTCTCATGGTTTCCACATCCAGGCTGGAGTATCCTGCCTGGTCTCACCGTCAAAGCGTTTTGAGGTGCCTGAAGCCAGCTTGGTGCTTGTTCTCAGCACCTGGGCAGAGGGTGCAAGGCTCTGCCCTGGCCACGGAGCGGTTCCTCCTGGCATGTGGCTCGGGGGACCTGGGGGAGGCACGATCTCGGTTTGGCAGACCTGCCTGCACCCGCTCCATCCCAGGCAGGCTGGGGACCGGTCAGCTACTACGGCTCCACCCCATGAAATATTGATGGTGCTGTTGGAGAAGCACTGGGGCATCACAGCAGACACAAATCTCTCCCCGCCTCCCTTCCTCTCTCCCAGCTGTCTTCATCCCTGGCCTCATCCCGGAGGGAGGACTGAAGCCTTGCGGAGGGGCCGAGCGCCAACACCCGCAGCGTGAAGCTGCTGTTCCCCCTTCCTTCCTTCCGAGGGTACTGGGAGGCTGTTGTGCACCCCCTCAACCCTGCCCTCCCCTCCTGTCCCACCCTCCCATCATTCTTTTCAGGTCCTGCTCAGGAGCAGCAGCTGCCCAATCCAGCCCAGGACTCCCACCATCCCAGTAAAAATGACTGGGATCAGGGACCTGGAGTCATCCTGGAGAAGAAGGGGTCCCAGCCTGGCCCGGTGCGTTACTCTGCCTTGGCCAGCTGAATCATTACCTGCTTCGGTGACTTTATTAGCAAAAAGACCCAGCTTTTTAGCGATTCACACCAGTTTTATATCCTGCCCTTCCGAAAGAGAGGTTTAAGAGCTTGGCAGGAGCTCCAGTCCTCCCACTGCTCAGGCCATAAGCCACCGCTGTCCCAGTTAGGCTGCCGTTCTTGCCATTTGCCATCATTAAGCTAAACAACATCCATGGGCGATATCCCGGGAAGCTCCGCTCCTGCTTCTCTCTGAGCCAGCGTGGTGGTGCCGGGAGGACGTACCACCAAACCCCTGCTCTGGTGGGGACGGGCTGCGGGGGCTGTGAGGCTTGTGGGTCTCCCGGGCCCCACCAGGAGACCTTCTGCTGCAGCACCATCCCACACAACCCTGGGGGCCAGTGTTTCTGCCCCCCTGCTGCCCAGCTGCACACCCCATTTACAAAGTGTCACCCCCATCAGTCAACCCTCAGCCCAACCTGTGACCTCTCCTGCTCTCCTCGGCTGGTGGGACGAGGTGTCCCCAGGGGAGAGCCCAATCCATGCAAGGGCCGCGGTCCAACCCCTGGTTGGAGCTGGTGTTTCTGCAGAAGGGAGCGGGAAGGGGTGGGAGGCTGGGGTAGAGATTTGGGGGGGTGTTCTCTGGGCTGGGAGGTGTTTGTTCCCCATCTGGAGCTTGGATGGGAAGCTTGGACACCCATTTTTCCAGAAAGGGCCATGCAGGGAGCAGAGGGCACCTATAGCGAAGTGGTGCTTGGCCTGGCCACCTCAGCAAGTTGGGGCCGCTCTCCCCACACTCGATACCCAGGGCTGAGCCACAAGCAGGGCCAAGAGGGGATATAAGGGGGCCCTGGAGTGCTCCAAACTGGGAGGAAGGAGGCAGCCCCAGGGGCTCCCCCCAGCCCTGTGGCATCTGCTGC